AGTAGCTATAGTAAATCTATAGTACATTGTTCACTCTGGATCATTTCATCAAATTTCAACCAGATAAAAAAGGCAAGTTTAAAATTTTAATATTTTATTACCATGGGAATTCAGTATCAAGGCGTCTTTCTGATGGTGGTTCGCCTGTAACAAAGAATAAATGCATATAATACATTTAAGTAAACTCAAACCCCATGTGATTCGTACAGATGACGTAGCCGTAGTAGAAATGTGCCGACTATACCAAAGCAATATAGCATATGCTAGAATGTAACACAGACAAGACCTTTGATACCTTGAGAATTTGATGTAAAGATTCTCCCCACCCCCTCCTTTCAGGTTATCGAGTTACGATTTAGATGTAATTAATATACCTCCTGGACGTCTGTCTGCTAATAACTGACACAGATCACGAACGTTTTCATATATTGGTTCTGTACTGGTTGAGTCAGCAAATTCTGTACATAATGCTCTAATAGCAGCTCTTAGTGGTGAAGATTTCAGATCTGGAAAAGGGAAGAGACGGATTAAAATACCTTTATTCCTAATGAAGACGAGCTCAAAATTATGTCCATTTAAGTGCCAAGAACGTAGGAGGCGAGTTCTTTGTTAAAATGTGCTACATGTACATACCTCGTTTACCAAACCACCAGGCATCAGCGGTGACCAATACTGCTATTAATACTACCAATGTAAGTTTCATATTGACAATCTAAAAATATACATCATAGTATCATTAGGATATATTGGTCAAGATCTACTACCAGTTTATTACAAGATATAGTAAATAAAATCAACTTGAACACGGTGAGAGTTGACTATACATCAGAATATATTTAAAGTATATCATCATGTTATATATAACTACACACATTATTTACCTGTAGTTGTGAAGAGACACGCCCTCTATTTCCTCAAGATCTGTGGTGACAATAAATTCTGATTGAGAGTGTCTCCTATTTATTTATAACATGCACGTGCAAATCGAGGAGGTCATAACGAGTGTGAGTTTGGGTGATATGATTTAGTAGTGGAGGAATTCGTTTTGATGGCTCATTAATGCCAATTGGAAGAATTGAATGTGGCCTCTCGTCCAATCGTATGGTGTATATGAACTATACCACGCAGTGTCCAATGAGGGAAAGTTTCTGACATTTCTAGTGAGATCCAAAAATGCAGAAAAACAGCTTGGTTTTAAAATGTCTTAGGTTAAATAGAATGTCGTTTGTTGAACAAAATATTTCCCTTTACATTAGCAGAACTTTGTCAAAATTGACTTGTGATATAGGTTAGAGTTTTGATACTATATGCATGAAATTTGGTCTGCATATTGTTGAGCTCTCCTTTAATTTTGAAAGTCACCATTGTTAAGTTAAATTCATATGAAATATATATCAGGGCTTCAAGTTTCGACTAAAACTATAGTTTAAAATTGTAAGCCTCCAGCACTTTCGTAAAAGAATTTGGCAATAACTTAGAAACTGTGTATTGAAAACTCACGCTAGTAAAAATCATTCGAGATTTTTTGTTTAACGTACCATTCATTGTCAAAAATATGATCAAGTGTTTATATACATTGTATTACAGTGTTTACAAGCTAAAAAAATGGAGCGCGTTTCCATTAACAAGGGCAATAACTCACAAGCCTACAAAATATTTTTCGAATTTTCAATTTCTCAATAGGGTTCATCTTTGGGTGATTACAAACACATGTTGATGACACCTTGTTATTTTGTAATTTGATGATATTGAATAATACCTTGACTTACCTCTTAGAATATATTCGTCCTACAGCTACAATTTGTGTTTGATTGTGACCTTTGGTTAAAATGACATGAGTATGAGTAATCATACTTTATTCTCAGAAAAAGAGAATTTTAATAGCCAAGCTAATGCTCATAGGTCAGACATTAAATTAAAGAAAGACAAGCCTGTCTCTAATCATTTCAACCTCGACGACCATTCAATAGACGATCTCACCCTAATCCCAATTCAGCGTATAGAAATTGACTTGCCCGAAGATGAAACTACCAAATTTCGTCAATCTAGGGAAGCCCATTGGATTGAGACATTGAATACAGCAAGACCTATAGGACTAAATATTCATCATAATGTAGGCAT